ATATCAATTCGAATATTAATTATTTTGGTTGATTTGATTTGATTGGCTGATGGTCATGTTTTGATCGACGTAATTGCAGACTCAGGATAACCAATCATTTAACTGTCCCTGCTGTTGCTTAATCCCAACCAGTGTTGGTTTAATATCATTTATTTGGATCTTTATAATAATTTTCCTTTTATATTATGGACAAAATGAATATATTTGGGCTTGGGTTATTTGCGGTGTAGTTTTAGCTATTTACAATATTGTTGTGAAAAATCAAAAACATAGAAATCCTGAAACAACAAAGAAAATTTTATTATGGCTTGTAATAATTACACTTGTAATTACCACGTTCATTACTATAATATTCCTTTCCGCAAAGCAATCAATCAATCATAAATTGAGTACAGATTTATCATCTAGTGAGATACATTACAACTCAGAAGTTAAAGTAATGATCGTGGCATTTTCTTCTTGGACCGAAATTGGATACCAAAGACGACAAAATATTCCGAAATACAACTGCAAATCTGATCCCTTATAATTCTAATAAGATTTCAACTATTTATAAGTTCATTATTAGTGATCAACCTTCTTATCTCACAGAAAATGATACAGTTAAAGAACCAAAGTTTCACGCTGAATCCGAAGCTTATAATGACATTATCATTATACCAACATCTGAGCATGATGATATTTTCGGAGCTAAAATTTACAAGACCTTTAACTGGTTAAATAATCATAAGTTTGATTACTTAATAAAGGCTAATGATGATACATTCGCTCGTATGGATACCTTAATTCGTGAATTATATGAATTAGGACCTGGAAAAGAGCTTTACTGGAGAGGCTTTGTATACTGGTACATTATTTTGTTTAATTTCCATAATTTGATTAAATATTAATTTATTTTTTTAATGTTATAAAATCTCATAAGCAAATTAACTTATATATATATATATACCAATCTTTCAATTTTATTATCAGGAATATCCCGTTAAATAACGAAAATCTTGTACTTCCAGTACTTCCACCTTACACGGAAAGTTCACTCTATATTTTATCTCGTGATATTATATCATTTC